TTTTTTTCTTTCAGGTGGAATGGTCGAGATCGCTCGCTTTTCATTATGTGTTCAATTACCACGCATATCAAAGCATGCAATGAGCACGATGATAATATTAGCAATTACATGTTTTAAACATTGACATGTACTGACATAAATGGCGACTGAACAGTTACGATTAGAGATTTAAGGAAGACAGATGTTGGTCTAAAAACTGAGAGCAATGCTGACTTTAAATAATATTATGGGAGTAAGGGGAATGGTATGAGCAGGGCCGTCGAGAGCCAGGTCGGGCCCTGGGGTAGCAATCACCTTCGGGCCCCTCCTCCCCCTGGCCTCACACACCCCCACCTGCAATACCAACTTACGCTCTCTCTCTCTCTCTCTCTCTCTCTCTCTCTCTCTCTCTCTCTCTCTCTCTCTCTCTCTCTTCACACACACACACACACACACACACACACACACACACACACACACACATACACATCCTCACACCCTTGGAAATGCATTTTGCGAAAGAGATGTTTGTATAGAAGCTAATCCACCGCCCCCCCCCCCCCATCTGCACACACACACCCCAGCATTCTTTGTCTCGTCCCCCCCTCCATCAAAAGTGCTGGGTGTTGTCAACACAAAATTTTCATTTTTCTGATTTACCGGGTAGTTAAAAATGAAGGTAAGATGAATAAACCAATGTCAGAAATTAAAATAAATTGAAATGTAGCATACCGTTTTTTCTTACAACAACGGACCCTTACGGGATTTAGCTCTAGCAAAACTGTCAATTTTTGGTTCTTAGTCTAATTTTCGCGCTGGACTGGCCTCTATGGCCAAAATTCCATTACTTGTGAGTCTGTCTTAACGCAGTGTGGACCGCAAAATGTTTTTCTCCCGAGACAGGGTACTGAAGGAACGTTTAGCTTGCGCAACTGTGAATGTGACAGGCAAGGTGCAGAAGATTCTCAACATGATTACAACGTTTGGAAACAAAGCATTCAGTTTCAGTGAATGAAGTCTGCTCAGCAACTGAAGAGGCGCCAGGACATTTTCTCCAATGTTCGCTGAATGAATCACTTTCAAACGTTCCAATTCTTGCGCAAGGTCGGCTGATGCATCTGCTGCACATTCTGTGTGCAAGTTGTTTGCAAGATCACGAATAAGGCCGACTTCCTCTTGGAGATATTTACACAAAACACTAAATAACCAATCGAGTTTTGTCACTGCATTATACCTTGTCGTCAAATTTCCAAAAAGGTAGTCAATGAGGACATAATAAATTTCATGTTTGAAATTGTTCTCGGGATTTTGGTAGTCTGTTACATCTTCTGTCTCGTCTACGAAAAACTTCCTTTTCTTTTGTCGTTTTGCGGTTTCGGCAAATGAATGCTCAATCTCATAGTTATCTGCTACTAATTTGGATTCACTCAAAATTGGGTCCCATTCATCTCGTAAGCTTTTCAGATCTTTAATCAGACTATAGATATTTGTCACCTCAACGTCAAGCGTCGCATCTCGTGCTTGCAGCACTCTATTTCTGCAATCGATTGCTGTGAGGATTTCTAGCCTAACAGATGCCATTATCACACATTCAAATGATGCAAAGTACTTAAAAATACCAATCAAATCTGAACGTGATTCTGGGGGGAGGTTCATTTGAAGAACAGTTTGAACAGCTTTCGTCAGTCCCCCGATGTGAACCGCGATAGGCCTGACACTGTCAACACGTGCTGACCAACGTGTCTGAGACATACTGTGCAAAGAGCTGGGAGTGTTTTGCTTCAAAATTTCCCACCTTTGTGGACTGGAGCTAAAAATGTTATACAGCTTCTGTACAACTCCCATGAAAGTTATGACTATTGAACAGCTTTCTGCGGGATGCACGCCACACAAATTCAAACTATGACAGCCACTGGGAGAGTATGTGGCAAGAGAACACTGTCTTAAAATGTGAGTTTGTGCACCTTTATACAGACCACAAATGTTTCTACCGTTGTCGTAGCCCTGGCCTTGGCAGTCTGTAATAAGAATGTTTTTTTTCATTCAGTGTATCAAGGATAATATTAGTGATGTCTTCTCCTGTTTTCTTGTTACAATAAATCTACACATTTCAGAAATTTCTCTTCTACTTTGTAGACATTTGTATCACTGTTCAAGTGAACATAACGCAAAATAAAAACAGTTCGACGAGTGAAAAGTCTGGTGTTGCATCAACGATAGTGGAGTAATATTTCGTTTCCGCTCTTGCATTCAAAATCACGTCTGTTACTTCTGATGCACAACATTGGATTAATTCATTTTGACTTTCTGGTGATAGATAGTGAACTTGAACTTGTAGGCGCCTTTTTTCTTTTGGTGATTTTTCAACTTTTGCAAGATGCTCTGCAAGGAGAGGATCGTAATGGCTAATCAATTCCAGAAGTCCAAGAAAGCACTACCAAAGTTCTGTGAAGTTGTCAGATACACAGCTCAACTTGCAGCCAAAATACATGTATATTTTATTTCAAAGCTTTGTACGT